CCACGGCCAAGGCGGAACAGGGAAAACCAAATTGTTGCAAGCTATTACTGAAATGTTCGCGACCAGAGGTTGTTCACATCGGTTGGCCAAAACTGCATTGTCTGGAGTCGCTGCATCTCAAATCAGAGGCTCTACCTTGCATTCATGGGCCACCATACCGGCAAATGTGAAAGGCTTGCCAATGTCAGACTCATGGATTTATCATCCAAATGTGGAGGCCATGAGACGGCAAGAGAAGAATATGCTGGATAAAGTCTTGTTGGTAGTTGATGAAGGCAGTATGCTTACAACTGATTTCCTGAGCCTTCTATCGCAAGTGACAGGTGCGTTCTGCGAAGCGGCTGGCATGCCACACACATCAAGTACTCTTCCTTTCGGAGGATTGGGCGTCATCATCGTCGTAGACTTCCACCAATTTCCTCCTGTCGGCAGTCTGACACACTCGTTGCATTATCCTAACCCTCCTACAACAAAGTGCCAATTGGGAAAGAATATCTATCTTCAATTTGACACTGTCGTTATACTGGATCAGCAAATGCGCATTATAGACGCTGTCTGGCACAACATATTGCAGCGCTCCAGAGAAGGAGCCTGCACCGCTGATGACCTGGCTATCATACATCGTCTAGTCCTTTCGAATGACGAGTGTGATGTTCCAAACTTCGCCGTCCCTCCATGGAATGAAGCTATTCTCATCACACCACGCAACAGTGTACAAACACAATGGAACAACTGTGCGGTTGTGAAGCACTTCTTGTTCAACAACAAAACCCTGTATATATGTCCTGCAGAGGATTCTACCCATGGGACCTGTCTGAATATGGTCCAACGACTCGACACTGCCAAACTGTCACTGAAAGACACAGAGCAAGTACCTACAATTTTACGATTGGCTATAGGGATGCGAGTTATGGTGACTCGGAATTTAGCAACGTCTGCTAATTTGTCGAATGGATCGAGGGGAAGAATTGTGGACATAACATTGGATGGTAGAGAACCTTCTTTGACCTCAGCTACATCTCAAAATCGACAAGTCCAACTGCATTATCCACCTATACTTGTCATCATCGAGCTTGACTTTTGCGAACTTCCACCTCTGCCTGGTCTCAAACCTCATCAGATTCCTTTGTCACCCGTTGAAGTCAAATTCTCCATTGGAACGCATCCTACTACTCGTGTAACTCGTCGACAACTACCTCTCGTACCAGCTTATGCATTCATGGACTACAAATCTCAAGGGCAGACTATTGATCACATCCTCATAGATATCGGCAAAACGACATGCTTCAGTCTATCACCTTTCAACGCATATGTGGCACTTTCTCGGAGTCGAGGCAGACAGATGATACACTTGTTGCAGGAATTCGAGAATGAACTATTTATTCGTCATCCTTCGGAATATTTAAGAGAAGAAGATGCAAGAATCAAAGAGCTTGAAAGAGAAACGAAGAAAAAGTTAGATAACATTATTTGAGTCCATGTACCATAGCTTCTGTGACCGTATTCATAGGTGTTCTCGTTCATCAAATAGACCCGCGAGAGTGTCTGCTATGTTATCATCATCGACGTAAAGCAGGATTACTCCTCGACGAGCTAGAGCTGATACTAATGCTGGAAATGCAAATAAATGAATGTTCGTTCGATGTATGATGGCTCATCGATAAGCTGATCAGGTTCTGTGAGACGACGCACCAGATCTGAAATATCTACTACACACTCAACGACTGGAGCTCCAGATATACAGGTGCAATTGCGGTACACATGAAGGTGCAAAGAACCACAAGATTGCCTGAAAACTGGGATATATTCAAAACATGGTACTAGATAAAAATATGAGTTACATCACCTATAAGAAAAGTGCCTGGTAACCTACAACTATTGATTTCAGAGATAAGCATATGTACAATGATGAGTATATGGATGATATTGTGTCTAGACAGATTGATGTCTGGGCGGCGTCCTGTCACGAGTCGGATGATCAAAAATTTAAAGTCTGTCTGTATACTTCGCTGGATGGCTCCTATTTCCTTCATTTGCATTCTTAATCATGTCGTTCGACGCTCAAGCTTATCATGATCATGCTGCTTCTCAGTCTAATTTCATGGCCTCTAATACATTGTGCAAGCAAATCTCTTGGCAGCATTCTGCTAATGGTCTGATTATCGTGGACCGCGATGAGCAAACCCCTTTCATCGGAGTGGTGACCGGAAGAGTATCACCTTTCAATCTCAAGTGTGGCACCAGTGGCAATTATCTCAAGAAAGGTGCCCTTGAGAAAGCCAAATACCAGCTCCATCTTGTCTGTCCGACTGACAAGATCTTGGCTCATGACTTTGACACTGCCATCCGTAATCTTGAGACTATGCAGAAGGCAGCAGGGACAACAGGCGATCACAGAAATATGGTGATTTGTGACGTGACAGGTGAGATGCTCCGTGTGGTGGCGAACATATTTGAGCCTAGGGTGAGTGATTGTACTGTGTTGAAAATAATGCTGATGTATTTGTGTAGAATGTTCGAATTCCCAATTCTCCTCATGGCCGGCGTGTTCCTAATGCTCCGTTGATGGATGAAGTCACTGACAAATGGCCCATCGCACCTGATCATGAGGACAATTTCATTCGCATCAAGTATACTCATGAGGCCGTTCCTCTTCCAGTGTTCAAAGACGGCAAAGCCATTCAGCCATTGGAGATCAACCGTGCATTAGAAGGAGCTTTGGTGGAGATTTATTTGTCAATTCATCACTGGCATTTTTCAGGATACGACAGCTTCCAAGCAAAAATGGAGAAAGTGATCATACTTCATCCTACTGCCAGTATCCCGGGTAAACATCATTTGCCTGAACCTACGGAGGGCGAAGGTACTGAAGAAGAGCTGCAGCATAAGAGAACTGAGATAGCAGGTGAGGCAAGTGGTTCAAATGTCTGATATGATGATGTTCTGTTTCTGTATTTGTATTGTGTCATCGAGACGGAGCTCTGAGCTTTGCTGTATCGGTTTTGGTATATCTGTATCAGTTTATGTATTGTTGTGTATCTATTGTGTATCCATATTTACGAAGATCTATCATTTTCGATTATTGCACTGCATGATGTTCACGTCAGGTGACTGACAGATTATGTGCCATCCAACATGACCTTGCTTCGCAAGGTAATTTGGACTATAGTTTCCCTAAGTGACGTTCAAAGTTGCAGCTGTGTGCGAAAGTAATGGCAGTGGCAAAAATTTTGCGTCCACGGTGATGAAAAAGGAAGTACAGTCATTCACCGTCATTTGTGTTTTCACCACCATTTGCGTTTTCCTTGTATGACACTCAAATCTAATGCTATCCCATGTAAATTTTTTGCTCTATCATATGAGTTATGTGCATAACTACGTATTGGCAGTAATGATAGGTATAAAAGACCTTGAAAAATTGTGTGATGTTATGTTTTGTTACCAAATTTTCACTATTTTATGTCCCTGAAAGCAAAACAACTAGAATTGGATTCGTAAATTGAAGAAATACATGCACACAACCTCCAAGCACATCACTGTTTGATTCCGCAAGGGAGATGATGAGTGTGTATGTTGCCAGAATGTTGCTGGTGGAGGGTGTCTCAATAGCATCTTATCAGTGTTACCAAGCACAATAAGCGGGATCTGATAAACACAAACTTGATATATGAAACTTTCACTCACCTCTCAAGATGGCCCAGCATGCACAATCTACCTCGATGAAAAAATGGTTCGCATCTTGGGAACGAGAAAAAGCCATTGCTCATGCCATGGAGGCCTACACAGCTGAACTACAGAAACCTGAGATGGAGCAGTGTATCTTATCTGCGCCACTGGGGAATCAATTTGCCTTTTTTGGTGAACTCAAATGGTGGTGAACGTATGATAACACCAAGAATTACACACTTTTCATCACGGAATAACATCTTGTTTGATACTCTTCAAAATTTTGTACGAAGTAGATTAGCTCTTCTATCATAACATCCCCAAAAGCGATTTTCGAGATTGTGTCTGGTTGTGTTGTGGTAGACGTCTGAAAATTTCAAACTCAAATGACGGTGAATGACTGTACTTAGAACAACGCTTCCTGGATGCTCGTGGGCATGTATAACCTTTTCACTATGGTTAACCAAAGGATCAGTAATGACCTCAAAGATTGTGCACTTCAACTGTGGGATCATGGATGGGAATTGGAGGATATCTGTGAAGCATTTGGTGTTAGCGAGAGGAGCTGCTACCAATGGCGATGGATCTTTGAGGAGTGTGGTACTGCGGCCACAAAGCCCCCTTCTCCACTCACAGGACGTACTCAAACAATCATGTGAGCCCTTCTGATGGCCGTTGAAGATCTCTTTGCTGAGGACTCTGATCTTTTCCTTGACGAGGTCTGTATGTGGCTTGCAATCGAGCATGATATCATTGTCAGCACTTTCACCCTGTCACGCAATCTCAAGGATGCTGGTCTCACTCGAAAAATTCTTCGAAAACTCACTTCCGAACATGATGAGGTCCGTCGAGAGGAATTCAAAGCTAGTCTTCGCAACAACTTTATTGGGGACAGCTCAGAATTCGTTGTCATCGACGAAACAAGCAAGAACAACTGGACATATGCATGGCACTATGTACAAGCACCGAGTGGAGATCATGCACAACTTTCAGATGTTTTTGTTCGAGGCGATCATTACTTGCTGTGTGCTGCTATGACTGTGCAAGGATACATTGCTGCTCAAGTAGCCGAAGGCTCGTTTGATGCACAGGAATTCTATGACTTCATCGCCGAGGATGTGGTAACTATGTGTCCTTTCTGTGCCTGTTTAGCTTTGAAGATTTTCTAGCTTCCACACATGAATCTCTTCCCTGCAGAGTGTTCCATCATTGTTCTTGACAATTGCTGGATTTATCATAATGAAGACCTTGTTGACCTTGTTGAAAGTGCTGGTTTGCTTTTTTTTATCTGTCTGTCCCTTCCCTCATAAAGCTAAAATTGGATAGGTTGTCTCATACTCTACCTTCCTCCATATTCGCCTGATCTGACTCCAATCAAGGAGTCATTCAGCACCCGTAAGTTATGGATAATTCATGTATTCTCTGTGTCTGATACATTGTTGACAGTCAAAGCTTATATTCGATGTCATGGCCATCAGTTGTGACAACTCGAGGATCCTGTTGATGCTCTTCTCGAAGCAACAAGTTGTATTACAGCGGAGAAGGCACATGGGTGGTTCAAGAATGCTTGTACTTGTACAATTTGAATGCAGTTTGTGCTAAAAAAATGATTGAACACTGCGCGAGTGTCCAAGAAGGTCCTTGAATGCACAAGTCCCTGTAGGCATAATGCATTATATCTGGTACTCACCACACAACTGTATTGCATTAACAATGCTTGTTAGCCTGTCTATAATGCATCAGAATGTGCTAACCATCAGAGCTGCCTCCCTAGTAGCCCGGCCCCTCAGTACACTAGCTGTCCGTATATGTAGTGTTCCTATCATCTGGCAATTATATATTCTCGTTCTTCGGCAATTACATATTTTTATTCCCCGGCAACTAAAATATCAAGACAGTTCATTGCAACGAAGTGCTAGGCACAATAGAAGATTAATTACACTACAGAAGGTTGACTACACTAGGCACATGAAACAGGTAGCATGAGGTCGGGGAATTGCATGTTGTCCAGTGATGGTACGGCGGTTGATATGAGGCTCGAGGTCGGAGGAGATAGCTGGGGAAGGTAGGGGGTCCACAGCACTCTAAAGTGCAATGCGAGCTGACATTGGATGTGTGCCTGTTTGTTGGCATATGCTACCAAGCCCTCGCATTGAGCTGCTGTCTCACAGACGAGCCGGTCCTGCTGCTTGTCCCACCAGTTGGCTTGCCAATCAAAAAACTGTAGCACCCTTCGCATCTCCTCCTGTAACAATTCTATCTCCTCTGCCCAGCACATTGCTCTTGCTCTGGACTTGCACCATTCCACGCGAACTCCTAGCAGAAGATTCAGAGACCATTGTCAGTAACAGCTTATAAAATCAAACAAAAACTAACCATCCACGTCACCCCCATCGCTACCTGTATCTACACCCGTCATCATCCAGATCCATGTCAGGCGGCGGCGGCCTTCGGTCTCTCTGCTGAAAGGGTCCACTAATGGTTTCATGTCTTCATCCTTCAGGTCTTGCAGCCATCCTTGCCATCCCACTTTCTTCAAGAGGGGTGCCAGGGTCTTCAGCGCCTTCCATGCAACCCTGTATCTCTTTGTACATGCCACTTGTCGCCCGTGCACATGAGCAAGTGCATTCTGAGCACAAGTGTTGGAGCCTTGACCATGAACCCACTCCCGCTTGAATGTAAGCATATAAAAGCACACGCGAAGGCACTGTCAAAGCTCTTCAAGTGCATCGTGGGCCTGGGCATACCGCAAATCCCATTCGTAAGCTTGAAGTCAGGGATCACATGGTTTGCCTTTCAGACTAGATGGCAACCACAGGCGGATATCCTCAGCATTCTCAAACAGCTGATGAGGGTTGGAAACCACAGTAGTAGTGAGAATCTGTACCGCAGGTATGTACAGAACCTGTGCACTTCTCCACGTTTTGATCTTACAATGCAGGACATTCCTCATTCGCGCGAGTGTGCCTTTCTGTATATCAGAAACGTGGAGACCCATTCCTTCGGATACTGCTCTCACACGACATCTGTCCCAGGTGTTAGTTGTCTTCACCTGGTAGTGTTTAGGTAAAGCCACTTACTCTTCCTCTTTGAGGTCTAATCCCAACACGATAAGTACACTTGGTGAGATGTCAGGGTGCAGAGATAGGTCAATCCCACAAGCAAGTTCTGCAGCTTCCATCTCCGCAAGTTTCAGACGGGCTGCAACTTGTGTGATTTCTGGATAATAGACGCTTCAGTAGATATAATTTGAATAGTAAAATAAAATAAAGCTTACAGATTGACTTGGACTCGAGGGGGTTAGTGACTGATGTGTCATTGGGGTTTTCCTCCCATTTCTCCATCTCCACTGTCCATGCTGACCTGTGGTCGGAGGAAATCGCAGCATTGAACTCCTGGAATGCAGCCTCATGATCAGCCTTCTCAATGACAGCTTCCTACATTTTATAGATGAGATATGTGCCTGACCCCATAATTATTAACCAAACAAGAATAATGAGTGAGCATAAATCACATACCTAAGCCAATGACTTTTTTCCAGTTCCAATCCCCAAAATGATCGTCTAATGTGTCCCTATGACAGCCGGGTCCCATTGCCTTTGTACTTGATGCGACCGGATTTATGTTGGACCAACCACGCTCAGGCACCTCCCCATCTGTACGACCCACAAAACATGTGAAATTGAAAGAGAACATTGTCTGACACTTCTTGATACGTGCTGGAAGGTGGAACTTTGGGACGAAGAACTGAATAAAAATGCGCAAATAGGATATATGGTGTGACTCGGGTAGCGACTCCATAGATTCTTGTGCCATTAACACACAATGTCATATGATACATTCAGAATGTTGAGACAGTTGTTACGAAGTGTGGAGAAAAACAGGTAGTCCATGTTAATGTACCTGAAAATTGAATTAGTCAAAGCAGCTTCACAAGTGACACATGCACTTTTCCCCTTTTTGTAGGTCCCCAATGCCATTCGGGTGCTTGAAGTTATGTCGCGCACAATCAACTGTCCCTACTCCAGTAGCTGCAAGGCCCTGTGATAGCTTTGTCTCAGCCATATTCACGGCATTATGGTTCGAGCAGGAACTTTTCTGGGAAGGTATCGTTAGCGACATCTTGGACCAGACTGTTTACATACCTCCTGTGTCTCAGACAAATGCTCCTTGAGATGGGACTTGAACTTCTCTTCCACAAAGTATGACCATCCCTTTGAGAGACTTGGGTCCGCTTCATCACTGGATATATCCCGTCTTTTCAATCGAAAATTGGCATTGATAGCCACGAACAACGAATACAGCCATCTATGTATGATTAGTGCATCGCTTTATGTTTGAAAATGACAAGAGGCTCACTATTTGGATTTTGGCACCTCTTTCCAGTCAGGGGGCATATTTTTGCCAGGCTGTGGGCAAGCCAGACAGAGCACAGCGCATTCACCCTCTTTGGTACCACTCACACCGACAGGATCATGACCGCGACCAAAATGTTTCAACAGTTTCAGGTGTCGCCACTCATGAACCATACACATGAAGGATTCATAGCGATCCTGAATTAGAGTTAGTTTAGTCCATGTAAGATCAACCCAGCAAAACGCCAACCTTCTTAATTAAACCAACATTGTCAGATATACGGACAAGCAAGTGATAGAATTCATATGCGGATGCCTTGGACTCAAAAGACAAGATATGGTAATGGTGCAATAGCTGGAAGGTTGCTGCTGTCCTTGGATCCACAGTTGTCGAGGGGAACCATCTCATGTGCAAGAGTTGTTTTGTATGAGTCTGGGATGTCTCACAGGCACAAAAGTCGACCACCATCTCGTGGATTCCGTTTGTATCGATGAGTAGGAAGTTGTTGTTGAATGACTTGTGAGGCAGGATACAGCTTTCGCCAATCGCATGCCCCAGCTGGATCCTCAGACCGAGCTTCTTGAGTGATGTAGCCATGAAAAATGACCCCGTCCACTCCTCAAGTAAATTAACTCCCGACTCAAGCACTCAGAATGAATAAAGACAAACCTTGATGCGATGAGTGGGGCTCCGCAAATGATTGCAAACAGTGCAGTCTCTGCAGTATAGCTGCATGTCACAACAGTCGTCGCATCGGAACAGAGCAGAAGCAGAGGCACATTTTCAGCAAGTATCCGAAGTATAGTCCCCTCTGCCATCCATCCGAAGCATTTCTGCCAGATACTCATCATGATCGCTTAACCACACTAGAAGGGGGTTATCCTGAAAATAAAATCACTGAAGCAAATTATGACCAGCCAACACTTACAGCCGTGGTGTGTTTTCACTTTGATGTGACCGGGGCATCATCAATTGCATCTATGTGCCCATCCATGTACCCAAAATTAGCATCATCATAACTGATGCCTTCAGAAACTTGTCCATCAGATTCAGGGTGAGAATTAGATTGTGATTGTGATGCGCATAGAATGTGCTGGCGGGAGGCTGTTATTCTGCCTTTGCGGCATGAGGAGAATGTTACAGACATGTAGTAGACAGAAAGTTGAGAGCTGGCTGGCGGAATATATGAATTTAAGTGTGTGCGTTTGTGACGGCTGTTGGCCTGCCTGGATGTAATCCTGAGGTCCCTGACCTGTATTTCTTGACTAGGATAAGACAGGGTGGTCGTGGACCCTCAGGAATATTTGGATTCATCTGTCGGGGGGCTGCAAGGTGTCACCATGTAGACTGTATATTGTTATTGCTTATTTGGAGATAAATGAACAGTATAAACAATAAACTAGATGAATCATTGTGCAATTATGTAAGCAATACTGAACTTTTGACTCCCAAAGGAGTATGCAGGGTGATAAAGTTGGCCTGTTGTTCGACCAGAGCTACCTTGGGTACCAGAAATACGATGACTTTGCTGCGAGCACTCTTGTAGCATGATCCATTTGATGAGCAAAATACTGATGAAAGTCTTTCCACTGCCGGTGTCGAGTGCTGCAATGACATTACATTCTTGAGCGCGTTGAAATCTCCTCTTGATATCTTTGAGGGAGACTCTGGTCTCATTGACAGATTGTATGGAGGAATCTTGAGTAATGGTCATTGTAATTGAAATGGATGGTGTTGGATATAGAGAAAGATCAGTTAACTACTCTGCATAGTATATACAGGACAAAGCTGAAGGGGATGATGGTAGAAGTAATAAGACTAGTGTTAATGCCCTTATACAATTTCAATTTCGCCTTTCTCAATTGCCTGCCTAACCTTTTCCTCACCAATGGCGATAGTGTCAACTTCCTCGTACTTGAAATCGGGGACACCAAGAACGGCATTTAGAGTGTGCTCCCTAGAGTAGATATATATATAATCCATCTAACAACTAGGGTACTCACCAGCTGGGTAAAACACCTACTACATGGCCGTGGGTGACACAATAGAAAGGTGGGTTCCAAGGGGGTTGCTTGCTACATGCTGGGATGTTATAATATACCCCCAAGTAACAATGGAGAAAACATTCATCAGCCAGTGCTTGGGCAGCAGGAAGGAAAGCAGCAGTGTGCTCATGAATGGTGGTGATCTCAGGGTATACTGCAGTGGAAGGCGTGTTGTCAATGAATATGAACATAGCTATAGTTCTCTATGTACCTTGTCACTGCTGGGGGTGTTAAATACAGTGGCAAATCACCAAGAAGGGCATCAGAAGCCAAATTCTGCTCAGCAACTCAAGGGTGATGGCCTGAATAGTCGAGTAGCCTGAATAACAAAGCCTGCACTTCATTACTGCTGAGGTTGTTGACTATAGTGGTGAATCACTGAGAAGGTCATCAGAAGCAAAGTTCTGCTCGGCGGCTCGAGGGTGATGACCTAAATAGTCGAGTAGCTGAAGAACACAGCGGCTCTGCGTGTCTACTTACATGACGGCTGGATGAATATTGTACAAAATAGGGAATTATGTTTCATACTCCACAGATTATACTCCGCAGATTATGTACTTGATGCACAAGGAACTTGCAAGTTTGCGTAGCTATGTGTATATAATAATGCAGGTGAGTTGCAAGTTTCTAACGCTCTATATCATGACCCACTCAACAATGACCTCCTCTAATAGTCAAGTGCCTGCAGCGTCCAATGGCAGTGCATAAATCCCTTGGTTTTTCTGACTCTTCTAACGTTGTGACCCACTCAACAGTGACCTCCGGCACTAATAGCTGTGTGCCTGCGGCGTCCATTGTCGGTCCTTCCAGTGGTGGTGTGTCAATCCCTTGGTTATTCTGCCTCTTCTAACGGCTGGTTTAGATTCTATAGCAGCACTGTTCACACAATTGAACATCAGCAGCAACAATGCTGCCTCATTAACCTCTGTCCTGCAGGGGGTCATACAGAACACAGTCGTTGCCGCTATTCAGGAAGTGGCTACTGCTGCTCAAGGAGTCACTATTGCAGCTCCTGCTGCTACCATTCCACCTGTGGCCACTGCACCATCTGTCATCACTCCTCATACCATTCTGCTCATGGCCACCACACTGGCAACTACTGCAATCGCTTCCACCCCACCACTGGTTACCGCACCCCCGGTTGTTACTGCTGCAACTTACACGCGGACTCATCACAGGGTGATATACATCATTCCTGAGCCCAATTCTGTCAGTCCTTTCTACTGGATCAGCCATGGGCGTCGCATTGGTGTTGTTGCAACTTGGTGAGTGGTACTTTGACTTCAAGACTGTCTACTGATTAGTATTACAGGCAACAGACATCTAGTTATGTGCCTGGGGTGAGCCGTTCATCCTATTCCAGAGTTCGCACTGTTGCTCAGGGGATTAGATTGATTGAGGAAGCAATTGACCGCAGGGATACCGAAGTAATCGAATGAGTAGCATTTCTTGCTCGATCTGTAGACATATGTACCATGTATGAATACTTCTCACGGCTGGTGAATCATTTTGACATTCTGGATGCTCATATCAGGAAATCAATAAGAAATTCTGAACACTTCAAATATAAACTTCTCCCTGCTTGTCTAGAAGGTTTCCATAATGGTTCGACAGTGCGGCCGGGAAAGTAGACAAGCACTCACTTTGTAGTAGACAAGACACTGTAGCATATCAGAAATTAATAACAGAACATGGTATAGACTGCAATCCTGACATATCATGGCAGAAATGACATTGAAACCAGTTGTTTGATAGCAATGAAACATCAATCAATATAATGATCATGCGTGTACAGTTGAACATTAATATTGAACATTGAACGTTGAACTCTGAGATAGACAGTCTGAGGATGTTGCCTCAATCAATCATCTGACCCAAATCCTGCTAAAGTCATGTTGCAAGCTCAACACACCTCAAAGCTGAGTATCATATGTATGAAGTCTATGATTGCTGAATGTGATGGGAGTATCCTACTGTGTATTTTATTAGAACGACCTCGTTTATATGTCGTATGAGTTATTCTAAACCAAAATCTCCTATAAATACTTTGTCCTGTGGCGTGTTTCCTGAAACTGTTACGAACTAGGGTAGTTCTAATGGTACCAGTACGAATGTGCTTCACGAGTACTGAGCGTATCGTAGCCTTGACGGAATGTCAAGGTTCCCTCCGGTTATCTTGGTAAGGCGCACCTCGTCAAGATACAGGACTAGCGGGATCAACTGAGACAAGGAGTGCTTGGCTCAGAAGTGCAATCAGAGACAACTAAGTTGGAGACTTAGTTGAACAGGATTCAAGGGAAAACCTAGTAGATTAAAGTGAAGAAATACAACAATAATCTGTCAACTTATATACACTGTACATAAGGGTTCAAGCTCAGTTCGTATCTGGGGATCTATGCTAATCATGGTGAGTCAGAGATAACAATACATGAGGTCGCCCATGAGGCATGATAAGATACATGAGGCTTAACCTCTAAGCATGAGGCAACATGCGCTGGTCTAGGTGTACATGAGGCGGGCAGCCTCTGGAGATCAAGTACAAGGCAGTCTAGGCCACAGTGAGGTCATAGTGGTTCCGGACCGCTGTCTTCTAAGGTTCAAGCAGCATGCCGCTGCATCGGTCAGTCCAACAGAGTGGGGGCTTCTGTAAATGTTACGGTTGACTGTAACAGAAACCAGCTGTATTCTAGTAGAATGACTATAGTTTAATTACTAAGAAACTAAGAACTATATCTAAGGACAGGAAGAACAAACTTGAAGCAGCGAGATGCAACAGCAAGTGAAGACCTGAGTGCTAGCAAATTCACTTGAAGTTGCTCACACCGGTGTTTGGCTTTGCATCTGTGTCACATCACGGTGTACTAACTTGAACATTCAAGTTGTCTCTCACTTACTATCACATACAGTGCACGATGGTGCGTCCACTCATCTACAACACACCTGAGGAGAAGAAAAATGCAGCTCGAGTTTACAGAAGGATGTACTATGAAAGGTCTGGCATTGCTAAAATATCTGAGCCGGGTGGCACTGACCCATGTATACAGGAAGAAAGAGGAAATCAGCGTCAAAATGGCAGCCAAGTACCAAGCCAAAAAGATGGCCAGCCAAATCATGGACTCTGGTGGGCGTCCGGCATAGATATTTCCAGGTACATTCAACAAGCTTTCGGTCACAGAAATTAAGCTGATTCCATATCAATCCTCCAACGCACGCAAATATCTAGTCCTCCACATCATGACTCATCCTCCACCTCAGGACGACACATGCAAACTCTGCCAAAGTTATCGTGAGTCTTGATTACTGTCATTTTACAGCTCGCCCATGACTCAACCATGCTCTTTTCAGCTGCTTAACCAACATTCATGTCATGAAACTTTCACACCCTGTAATGTATGTCCACATCAATTCTGAGCAATGTGATATACTGAACACCTTGTGTTCTCATAGTTGTGATGTTGATGACACTGAGGCAAGCCTACTGACCTGTTCGATATTCAACACACTATATGCACAAATGATTCAGGGCCCCGGGGACCAACAGATTGTCCTTGCAATGCTTTCAGTTCGCCTGGAAGTACTTGAGTCTATTCAGGAATATGTACGGTTATGCCACAGGGGGAAGTCTCATTTCTCCGCTGCAATCATGGAGCATCTCAGCAATTTGTTTTATCAATGCAAATTGGTGACTGCTGCCACCGAAGAGCTCTGGTGTTATGCAGCCATAAGCGAGATAGATGTGGAGATGCTTACAAAATTCAGCCAAGGATCATTACTATTCCAATACTTGTGACGCCACTTCAAATACAATGGTATCGAGAGTTGCATGTTCGTACTTGTTTAAATCACCATCATGTCACAATTACTCAAAATGTGCTGAACTTCTTCGAAGCATTTGCTTAAACTGCAATAAATAGGTGTCGGGCAGCTTCACACCCCAACACATTTCAAGTAATGTCTGTGCCAGTGAGTAATACAGTCCTTGTACGCATCGCTGCTGAATCCAAGACAAACAGCCCTTACCAACCAAGTGTCTTCCCCTCCGACAGATCCAGGAGCAATTCCTTCTGTCTCGCTCAGATGAATTCTTTGCAATATGTGATCCCTCTCAACATATTTACTTCTTCAGTGCACTCTTCTCGCATTGGTTTGCGCATTGGCCTGAAGAAAAAGTTCTGTTTCCTGGTACACCATTCCATAAACTTACTCCAATGCAGGTGACTGCAGTGGGCGTTGCAGTGCAAAAATGTTGCAAGGTTAGTTGTCCCTCCCTGTGGTATTGACATATACGTACTTACCTGTGCATGCTCGCAGGATATAAAGCTATATTATACCTCATCGTCGAGGCAGTATCCCAGATGTCCCAAGGCCCGTGGTTGATCTTTCTTAGAATAGTGTTTACGCAATCACAATAGAATACTTCTTGTAACATTGGTGACATGCAGATCATGCAAAGAACAAATTAAATTGTACACGATATAAGAAACTAGAGCGAAAGACTAGAGCGTGATACAGCACAGTAAACCCTTGGCCCTCGCATTCACCATAACTTCCGTTACCTGCTGTAAGCTCTGATTATTGAACGTAAGTGCCGGCACTACTAAGTCACAATGCATTTGGACTCACCAGTGATTAGATAGGCATGTGGGCAACAAAAGAACAGATAGAATTTCTGGAGAGATTCCTCCCTGAGTACTGTGAATGCATGTTCAATAAAAATTACAAACCGGTACTGAAAAAAGTCTGGTGGGAGTTCTTTGAGCGTAGCGCAGTATCATCCTTGCGCAGGTGCCAGCTGATCAAGGACTGACAGAAGAACAAGAAAGCCTCTTAAAAGCGGCGGTCAGTAAATGACAAAAGGTAAGCATATTATACAATACGCATCAAACACGAATTAAACCCATCGCAGCAAATCACAGGTTGGTACCGGTGGCAGACTAATGTGTTGTGTTTGAGCCGTACCAGTGGGGCAAAGGGGCTGCTCAAATTTGATGCGGTGTTGGCAGGTGGGGTAGGACTGAGTGGTACACATGCACCCAAGAAGATGCATATCTATTCACATGAGTATTATGCGGAGAAAGTTAGGATCGATGCAGACCAAGCCATTCATGAAAACAACATCACTCACCGTGGTGCCAAGTTGAACAAGCACCTCGCTGTCACTCAAGAAAAGTTTGAGGCAGAAAGCAACAAGGTGAAGGAAGAGGTTGAGAGGAAGTATAGAAAGGCGAAAGCGAAGTTTGCCAAAGCTCATGAGCGCTTGAAGGGTGGTAAGATGCCAAAGATTGATACAAATGCGAAAGTCAAGTACATACCTCTTGATCAGCCTTGATTTAAAGGTGCTAACCATTGGTCAGGGCCATCCGAGAGCTAGGTCCAATGTTAGACCGTATATTCCGCTACCTGTCTTATGCAACCAGCAGCTGGAAGTTTTCAGTCCTCATGGCTGGGCCTGACCCCACAAAGGGTGGGACAGCGGTATATGAGTATGTCTGCTATATGTCAAATCACTTACATCAACTTATACCACAAATCAAAGCTATCACATAGGCGAACTCAGGAATGGTGCTCAATTCAACATGTTTTGTGAAAAGTTCAGCAGCATCCAGCAAGCATTCTTGGAATTTACTGACAGGGCACTTGGTAAGTGTCATCTTCTCAACAGTAAAGTGCATCACTCACTGTATTATACAGAATTTGAAGCCACTCTGCCTCAAAACAACTCCGACTTCGACTTGGAGAGCAATGATAACACCGATAACAAGATGAACAATATCCAGACCAATTCAATGGAAGGCAGAGTGGAAGCTGGTAGCAGTGGTGGTGTTACGGCCATGAATTTAAACTTTCACATGGACGACAGTCTATATAGGATCTCACCTGATTTGTTCAACAACGAGTCACAAGAGGTAAGTGATGCCTTACTCGTCTTCATAATGCATTAATGATGGTTCTTACCACACACTCAGTGTTCTGCATTATTCGATAATGCAGGCCAGGGTTTCTTGTTGCATGAGGTGAGTCGTGCATTCTGTAATGCATTATTACTGATATGATACATCACTGGGCCAGCACCAGCGACAGTCTACATTACCCAGCCAGGCTTTTCAATACCCGGACCTCAATTTTGGTCAGACAGACCTGGACCCCAGCATGCGAGCTTTGATAGCTGGCAGTGATACTCAAGTTCAGGTGCCTCCCCTGGGCCCTTTCATCCCAGGTTCTTCGATTGTTCTCAACGGCAACACGGAGATCCAAATGCATCCCTTGGATTCATTCACCCCAAGCTCTACATTCGCCAAGCTGCCATTATTCACTCTGAGCTCTGCAATCTCTGAGCTGCCATTGGTATTACCCCCTCCACCAACTCCCCCACAGACCCCGCAAATTCGTCTGCCTGCGGTTCCTGTCAAGCCCATCCACAAAGATCTAGATGTACCTGTGCCTTCTTCCCCTTCTAACCATCGTCGACGTGCAAGGGCACCCACAGTACAACAGCAAGTGCATCTTCAAGAAGAACCTCGTCAACGCCATGCACGCAATGTTACCTTCAACAGGCGTGAGCTCGATAATGCCATTGGGTCTAACTCCAGCACCAAGCAGAAACGAGGCTGTGGCGACGATCTAGGCTCAAACAAGTACATTATACTATCTTCATTGTATTCAATTTGTTCACATATCTTTTTATTCCAGGAGACCCAAGCGAGGGTAAGTATGGTGTGATGGTGTGTTAGTACTGTACTACTCGTGTATCTGGCTTTGATTGCCATGTAGTCCCCTTGTTCAAGTTTGTTTACTTTAGTCGCGACATCTCATGGTGAATCTGATAATCTTGACTACATTGAATACATTGGATTGATACATATGAGTGTCTCTTAAACAATGAAATACGTATGTTTTGGTTTGCAAGTAAAAAAACTCGGAGGGATTCTGTAGAAGTGCTGGGACTTCAAAAAATTGATGTGTACTAGTACTGAACACAACTGGGACTTGGTAAAAATTAGCCCATCCGGAAATTTCCGGGCGCATAGACTTCGTATCGTCGAGTCAAGCAGCTAAAAAAGGATGCCAGGTCTCGAACCATGAAGTTAAAGTGAATTGAAAGTAATTGAACAACCAGAAAGGATACGAATAAGAATAGATTGCGATGTGGGGGATGACAAACAAGGGGGCTCCCAGGAACAGGGCGGACCAGCCTGGACCAGGAAGCCAGTTTTTGAAGACCGACAGTATGTTACACGCATTAGGCAATATTTACGCGATTTTAAGGCTAATGCATTACAGTACCGGTTTGGGTGAGAAGTAATGCAACCTATGCTTAGCATCGCACCTGCATCACACTATGTTGATACTTACCATGCTATACTGCATTAGAATGACAGGATAGCCTGTTGAATGGTGATGCAAAAACTACAGAATCATTTGGACCAAGTGCCCGACTTTATGGCGTTATGAGGAAGGCTTGCCAGCCAAGTCTCGTAAATTGACCTACTTCCCGCCATTCCTTCTCATCGAGCGTCTCAACAGCTCTGTTTCCAGGCTGGTATTCGAGAGCCGCGAGCTTCGCTTGATCACTGGTAGAAACACGATACTTGGTGCAAAAGTCGGACAGGGATACAGCATGAGAAGTTGTCGTACCGGAAGACGAAGATGCTGAAGGTACCTCGCCAGTAGGTGGAACAATTGCTGCTTGGGGTTGTGCGTGACCCTGCATAGCTGGATAATAGGGCAATGGCCCATAGGGATATCCACCAATGTACGGCGAGTGCATATATGGAGCTGGATGAAACAAGTGATGCATAGTAGGACCAGGGATATGAGACCCTGGAAATGGAAGACCGTGTGGATGCGGAGGCATGGGAGGACCATGTAGATTCAGAGGTGGAGGAATGATATGACCATGGAGCGGAGGTGGAGGTGCTAGTTCCTGGCCTTCGAGGGCCTGCTCCTGTCGACGCTGACGATGGAATTCACCAAATTTGTATAACGTTATGTGCGTAAGGGATGCACAATCACCTTGGCGATGTGAAAAGCTCGAAAATTGGCAGGTTCTGGACCCTTTGGTCGACGCTGCAGTTTCAGTTCAACGTCTCCCACAAGAACGTCCTTGAGCAGCACCAAGGTTGTCTTAGTAAAAGCTGCCGTGTTGTTCTCTCTCTGCGACACCTGTGTTCGCCATGAGTTGCAAACCTTGACGAGACACGACGGCAATATATATTTGCCTTGCTCTGTCAGCCATATGTCAAGTGCATCAGCCAGTGCGGGAACATGTAGCGCGGCTCACACGACAATTGGCAGTCCCAAGACGGTAGGACAGAGGAGTAGTGTAGCACAATCGAGCTCTGTGGTCTCGGCAACCCATGCTCTGCTGCTAAAATCTGTCTTCGAGGCTGTTGGGAACATTGCCAAGAGAAGAGGAATGATGGTGGTGGCCGGGAGGACATCTGGGGTAGATCACATCACGTATCAACAACATATCAGGCCTAGGTAGTTATGCATGCAATATGTATGCGACGGCTGCAGTAGAGTATAGTGGGTGACGATGGCATGTGAAATGGAGGAACCTGATACTATCGTGATGGCGTAAAATGCTCAAAGCTTCGTAGCCTCCGAACTTTGTGAGTCAGGCCGGCAAGTACTGCCGCTCCAGTTTAACGTCTCCTGCAAGAACGTCCCTGAGTAGCACCAAGGCTGCCCTTGTGAAAGTCACCATATTCTTCTCTCTATCTGCGACACCTGTGTTCACGACACGAGTCGCAAAACCTTCATGAGACACGACGGCAATACATGTTTGCCCTGCTCTGCAAGTCGCAAGAGTCAATGTCGAGTTATCAGCGACATGGAGAATAGTGAGGCCCACATCATATGGACAAGCGGCGGTCCCGGGACAGTAGGACCTGCAGCACCCCACTCCCCGATGCAGTATGTGACATCCATCTGTTCCCTGACGTTCGCTGCGAGCTCTGTGACGAGTTCCGGCGTGGGCCCACTAGGTAGGACAGTCCATTAGCAGCCGGTTGACAGTAATGAGCCACTGCGATAAACAGACATGTAGTTCACCAAGTTCTCATCGGTCCAACCTGCCCAAGCCCTCCGTGACTTTGTGGTGTACACTGTCGCTCCTCCCACGAAGAACTTGCTCGCTCCAGATACAGAAAGTAGGGAAGCTGACACCAGACCACCCGTTGTAGTTTCCGCCACTGCAAGCGTCGACGAAGTCGACCTCAGAAGCCCGGAAATCTCAGTCAAAAGAGGCTTAAAAGAGACTGGAGGGAAAGAATAATCTTCTGTAGGTTCCATTAGAGATTCTCAGCTAACATGTTTGCGACTCGTTATCATCCCCATGCGGAGTCACAATTGTTTTGATCGTTAGATATATTTGGACCATAGTTTCCCTAAGTGCTCTGTTCAAACGTTCAAAGTTAATCCAGACTTTTGCTGATGGACAACGACGACACAAGTGCCAGCAAAAGCTCCATCGCATAATACCGAAACACTACATTAATTGTGCTGCGTTAACCTTTGTAGTGATAAATGAGGTACATCGTGATGGTGTTTTGAGTAGGTACGTATGCGATATCCATCTACAGTGAACAGCTGCAATAGAGTAGCTAAGAGAGCAGATAGTAATAGGGATATAGATGCATGGTGTGATTGAAATAGTGTGATTATTCATGAAGTCTTGAGGGAATAGAAATAAAACTGCCAAAAGCCCAAATAACGAAGGATCCACGCGAGAAAAGAGGAGGGATGAACGGAGATGGGAGAAGAGCCAAGTTACCGCCCGCCTCTTCGCTCATCAACAACGACTTCCACCCATCTAAGCAGGGTATCCTGGAGCATCGTTTCCCACCCCTCGTCCTTGCGCGCAACGAGGCGAGGATCGAAGATGATCGGGGGTTCTGTGGAGGGAAACCGTATCTTCGAGGGGGAGTTTGCTGGCGTGCTATGTGAAGGCTTGAGTTGGTGATCTGTCTGGCTGGGTGCGGAGGGTACGATCATTGGTAGGAGATATCGAATTTTTAGTGCGCTAGATGGATGACAGGCTGACATCAAGAAATGCAACCTGGAGAAGAGAACAAAAACTTACGCAGCCCACAGTCGAAGGTTATCTGTTCGTCTAAACGTCCAGCCAGTCTTACTTTTTTCTCTCTCGTCTTCCGCAGCTTCCAGTGCCACGATATCATGGATAGAATCGGGCGAAATAAAACCCCAGGGCTTACGTGACCACCGGACTCCGGTGTTGTATGCTATGCACAGAAACTGGCCGGACGAAAGCGCGAGAAGGAATGCGTTTCTATCTGTCGCAGGTGGTAGCAACGAACAAAGGTGTTCCGGAAGCAGAGTGTAGATGAGGGCATGTGCTCGGCCTGCCAGAACTCGATTAGCTTTGGGAGAATCAAGTAATTAAAGGACCAACCCAATGGGTGTTCGGCAAAGGATCCACGCATCGCCCACTCGGGTAAATCATCTTCATCCACGCTTTCCTCCTCAGAAAGGGTTGTCATTTCCTCATTCTCTTCCATCATGGTAAGTCTCTGCATTGAATCTAGCAAACCGGACGATACCACCCGCCTGGACGATGGAGGCGAGGACGAAGACCGAAAAGGATCTGCATCACCCGCGCTAACGCGCCTGCTCTTCAACTTGCTCTCTTTCTCTTTCTTTACAAACCTCTCGTGTTCTCGTTCCCAGCCTCTTTTGCCCTCCTTGACCTCTCCGAACAGAACATCATCTACCACGTCCACATACCGCCGCACGACTTCCTCCTCTTTCGCTAAGTCAGTCAACGTCATGTCTTGTTTATACAGCCAGCCCCCGCCCAGCACCAAACGGTCGTCCCAGTGATGTCTCTTTTCTCCTTCCTCTTCATTCATGATCGAGTCATAGTAGTCATCCTCCCACACCGGTACGGATTCCTGTCGACCTTGTACATGCACGAAAGAAATCGACATGTCTGGATCTATAGGAAGGTCGTGATCGTGATCATGAGACATATCTGAAAGCGCAGCGGGTGATGCCACACGCGATGGTGATGCACCACCGTGGTCAGGAATAGAACCGTGATCGCTTTGCACGTCATAAACCTCGTCGGATAGAGGTACGCGTGAGCGCTCTTCGAGTTCGCGAAGAACAGCCAAAACTTCCAATGCAGACTTGCGGATAAGTGACAGGGGATCTGCTTGGGGTTTCTGGTGCGGTGCGTTTCTTTTCGGGTGGGGTGAACTTGCCGTGGCCTTGTTGCGGTATTGGCTGCGGAGATTTCCAGCGGAATCGTCTGGTAATGTAATCACGTAGTTGCGCACTGAACGAATGGCGCGCGTGGTGATCTTGAGCAAGTTGAGAATATCCAAGCGATCTCGGGGAGTATTGGACGTGTGGGGGCTAAGGAGATCAGGATCGCGTCTCGGACCGTCGTTTTTGCTACTTGACAAGCCCCATGCGTCTGAAACAGCCATGAGGTCTTGTATGACGCCTGGAAGGAACGCTTCAGGGTCCGTTTCATATGTCTTCACAAACGGAGGGAAAGCCGGCTGCTGGATCTGCGGAATAGTTGGTGATGGGGGTAACTCAAACTCCAATAGACTGCCTAATGACGCATTAGCGGATCTTGCTGCAGAAATTCCACCAAGAGCTGGGACGAGTTGATTGCTAAGCTTCTTCGATGGGCTTGACATAGTATGAGCAAAAAGTCGATGTGAGAAAGAAATACGCACTTGGGCTTGGCGACGATGCCTGTCTTTGTGAAATAGTGCTGAAGATGTTCTATGCTTCCAAGTGTCATGACGCTCTGACGTTTTGCTGCGCTTCTGCTGAATGGCTTCACTGGTTTGTTGGCAGAGTTCATGTTAGGGTAGAAAGCGGTCGAGCGACGCGTTTTCAAGTTCTTGACTGCTGCTTCTGCATGACTTTGAGAGTCTGTAGAAGCTGAGCCAGTGTCATCCGGCGTCAGTGCTGGTGGTGTCGATGGTGGAGAAGACGAAGCCATGTCTACATACAGGAAACAAGACAACGAACGACTGACCGAATGCAAAGGCAGAGCTACAAGCAACGCCCATACGGCCAAAAAAGGAAGGTGGTTAAAAATGGGGGTTGACTTTTGGGGGGTCGAATTTTAAGTATCATAAGGACTCCATCCTACAATGATGAGCATACATGGCCCATGCAAAGGACAAGTACTACTGGGCTCAACTAAGGGCTGCTCTCACTGCAGGTCAATGGTCGTCTCCTTCACCAGGAACAGCTCAAAATGGCTCCCCATTATCTTGGTTTCATATACTGCGCAAGTTCAACAAACACTGTAAAGGTTTCCAAGACGTGGCAGAGGTCGCATCACAAACTCAAGTTCTATTCTTACTGCTCGGAGCAGACACACAGAACGTGGATCAGCTAGGTCTAGAAAATGATGACGAGCTCGTTCTTGGCGACGAGTGTCTCTTACCACCGGAGCGGATAGAGGAGGCTAGAGGCGGGTATGAGACATTAAAGAGTCTGGACAGCAAGAATTTCGATGTAATTCATTTTCCATCCCTATTCCATGCAATACTAAAGATGGTCCCATAGTCTCTTCATCTTGCACTTGCGCTCTACGCGTATGCCCTCGGCCAATTCTCGGAATGCCTTTCGTACTTGTCCAAAGTACCAAAGCTGCTCGAGGCGCAGGGTCATATACCTCCATCTTTCACCACTCGTTCAGATAATTCCGCACTCCAGATACCTGGATCAATTGCCGAAACCTCATCTTCATGGACTGGTAGTTTTGTTTCTGCTGACTATCCTGGTTCGACAGCTGACATCAAGGATGGGAGAGCTTGGGCAATCACTGAATCTATAAGGAGCACATGTTTACAAGGTATGCCTTTCCATCACTTACTTCACCGCATTGACATTCACTCCAATAGGCATGTGTTGTGAAAAATTATCACAACCCAAGAAAGCCATTCAAGCCTACTCATCCGCCCTCCAACTTCTGAGTAATATCGAGTCCGAGATACCACGGACACTCGCTGCCACGTATTCATCTCCCGCTTCATTCGACAACTACCGCGAGCTGTGGCGTTGGACAGAACGTCTCATGTTCAGGGCGATATCTATCCTTTCGCGGTCTTACTGTCTGGATGAGAACGATGGCCTTATTTTGACCATGTTCACCCATTATCATGCTTGCAGCGCGCATTGGCCAGCGACATTTCGCACAGGTCACCGCTCCACAGTTGCAGTGCTCCACCTCCGAGCGCTGATCATCCAACATCAAACGTCATCAACTTCAGCCCCTAATTTGCCACTTCAATCAGCAAAACCACCCCAATGGATAAGTACTGCTCGCTCAGTCATCCATGAATATCGTACAATTCTAGGAACTTGCACTACTTTCCCCAAGGCTGGTGAACGTAACGTCAAAGTGGAGGATTTTGTAGACTTGTGCGTGGCAGTGTGGGAGACCAGTGGAACCATGTCTGACCCTATCCGTTGGGTTCTCGATGTAAGATTGCGTTGGCTGGATTTCTATCGGTTCACTAACCCGATATAGATGCTCTGGTGGGCTACTCGCCTCACCTTCAACTCATATCGTATTTATAGACACATGACACGACTGCTTTCCATTTCCGGGGATGTGGAGCTGGCTAAACGTACCCTGAAGTTATACGTTCAAGTCGTTTCGAAAGCAAGGGAAGCAGGGGTGGATAATGACTTCGACACGGATCGTCATTGGGTTGAGACGCTTATCGATGGTGCCCGGATGCTTTGTCGTCTTTCCATTTCACGCCAAGATGGTATCGACGATGCCAAGGAGGCAGGGGACATGATCGAAAAGGCGAAGACGAGGCTGGATGAGGATGACAAGGAGATGGTGGCGAGAGTCGCACTGGCCGAAGGTGTATGTTATACAACACTGGCAATAATAGGTACGTATCTATTCTGATATTTCGATATTCCATAACTGAATCTTATGTTATATCAGAACAGGACCCCTACACCCGACAGACTCGCCTAGATCGCGCCCTCGCTGCCTACTTGAAGTCTGTTGCGATCCACCCCACACCTGCTGCGCACCATCAGCTCGCGATCGCACTTTCTTTCCCTGGAAGTTCGCAAAACTTGGACGAGGCGATCGTGTCCGCCCGTGCAGCTGTTGAAGACGATGCTGATGAGATTCGACATTGGCATCTTCTCGGTCTGTTACTTAGTGCTAACGGCGAGTGGGAGAAGGCGGCCAGTGTTTTAGAAGTGGGCGCAGAACTAGACGAGAGGAAGCAGGACATGGAAAGTCCAGCTAGACTCGACGCAGAAAATACTGCCAATGACATCGTGGTGAAAGCACCTATAGCTGATGGTATCCAGGCTCAAGACTTTGAGTTAGACCATCAGCACGCACAAGTGAAAGGTCATTCGAAACTCCCAACTGCACATCTACCGCTGAATGATGCTGATGGTACGACATCTGAGCACAAGAGGCTTCTTGATCCACACGCAACCACTATACCACCATCTGCCACTCTCCTCCGACCATTACCCGACCATCCATTGCCTTCTCCCCGTGACGCATTTGATTACGCCCTTCAGCTCAGAATGACACAGATGGCACTCGCCGAACACATAGAAGGGCCTGAGGGTGCAGAAGGGCGGTGGGTTGATGTATTTGGCTGGGTCGCGGAACACAAAGGGTCGCCCTCCACTTCGGGGTCTATGACAGAGACGCAGCGTGAGTCTAGGAAGCAAGCTTCCCCTATTCTTGATCCCACCTCGGGCTGTATGGAACTGATTTTATCTGGTTGTGGTTTGTGTGGATCAGCGAGGTCGTCAATAGACACCGGTACTGGCGCCAGGACTACACAAACGTCATCAGTGCTGCATCAGCCATCGCAGGACCCACTGAATGAAAAAGGTCCTAGTGCAGACCAGCATGGATCTCTGGGTCTTTCTATTGGTCATCAAGACCTCCCATCATCGGAGCTTCCGCCAATCACTGTTACGCCTGCAACGCCTGCAGAGCCGCATCGACGTTTTACACTCAGTGTGGATGAGAAGGACTCGCTGAAGGGTAGACGCTCCTCTTCAGCAGATGGCACTGGTAGGAAAGTGCAACAAATGCTGAAAGCCCGCGTCCATAAAGGGCAGGCAAAGATCAGTACCATTTCGAGGAAACTCGGAAATGGCGTTGGGCGCAACGGAAATTTGAAGAGGACAAGCTCTGCACCAGGTAAACTATTTTTTGTTCTACCGACCACACCTTTTTTCACAACCTGTTTTAGACTTTCATGCCGTGCTACAGAACCATAGTTACCAAGCGTCGTCAATACACTCCCGCCGCCGGCTGCGTTCTCTGATTCGTCATAATGCAGCTGTCGCACCCATCGAGTCACCACCCGCTCCGCCTCCCCCGCTTCCTCCGGTGAAGGAGGAAACACCTATACTCCACGCGACGAGAGACGACAAGCTTATAAGCGACCTTTGGGCCATGTCTGCTGCCACTTTCCGACGACTTGGTAAAATCGAGCAAGCCAAAGGCGCAATCCAAGAAGCAGAAGTCAAAGACTCTGAAAATCCCGCTGTTTGGGTGCAGGTGCGTATATCGCATGTCTGCTGTCATGTGTGTTCACTAATCATGACACAGCTTGGGCTATACTACATGGTGCTAGATCGTAATACAGAGGCTTTAGAAGCTTTTCAAAAAGCCCTGTTCATATCGCCTGACGATATCGCTGCATCTGTGCACTTGTGTCGTATCCACCTTTCCACGAAGTCATCGGACGGCACAGTTGACTCAGATAAGGCTGATCTAGTCGCTGGGCTACTCAGCCACCTCACCCGAGGACCTGGCTGGGACGTTCCTGAGGCCTGGTACTACTTGGCTAAAGCATACGGGCTACAGGGCCGAAAGGATAAGGAACGAGAAAGTCTGGCGACGGCTTTGTCGTTGAGTGATCGCAGGAGTATTAGGGATATTGGGCGGGCTGTGGGTTGGTGTTTGTGACTGGTACACGTGGTCAAGGTTCGAGGCTTGATTTATATATACGACATCCCACGTGACAGAGCATCTACTTATTGCTGACTCTGCACGACAATCATATAGATGATGATCTTTTGCATTCCTGTTAGATGACAGGTTGTATAGACAATTTATTACTTGACTTTCGGTTCTGGATCAGGATTCAGAAGGTTTTTTTCGTGCGTTAGGGTTGATTAAGTACGATTTTATATCCGAGGTGCAGACCGACGCGTTTTCCAGAGTCTGGTATCCGATCTGGTACGGCTGTACAAGCTGACGACGTTCAACCGGAACACCACTGGTACATATCATCTCCTTCAGCTGCCAAGCAGGCCAAGAGGTTTACACAATCCATCTACATATCTCAGTCTTGCTCGCAATTAATGGGCCCCCGGCTTACATTTACAATAAGGGCATGATTATGGATTCGAAGGGGTCTTGGATATACAGCATATAATACAACCACACTCCATCATCGACATCTCACTTCGGACTTCCGGGTTCAGGGACTTCAGAAACGAATTGTTCCGGGCCGTAATCGTATGAAACACTCGAGTGATTAAAGGTTGACTCTTCAGCTGCACGAGATCGGGTTTCTGCCTCGGCAGCTTCTGGTTGTGCACGCTGAAAATTTTCAGCACGTCGCACGCAGTAGTGTTCATATCTATCGAAATACTCAGTAGGTGTTAAAGGAATCGAAATCGGTGAAAACGTCAATGGGTCCCAGAATTTCCCAGCCGGATCCTATGTCGCAACCATCAATAAGAATGTAACTAGCTATGCAAACGTGACTCATGCGCACCTGTGGACTGTACTGGGCACTCCTACGCCTCGCCTTCAAACGCAAACGATTGCGGCGGCGAATGTCATTTAGAACAAAGCCAAGCCTTTCTTTTGGGCTGAGGGTGAGGTCACCGGAAGCAGTGAGTGTGTGCTCGTCTTCTGGGTCAGTGGCACTATTGGTGTCTTCTGGGTCAGTGGCATTATTGGTGGCATTTGACTCGACACAATCGTCGAAGAGGGCAAAGTGCGGGCTCATGTGTGAGGGTGTGGTAGATTCAGGCTAAACGACTTGTCAGCGGAAAGAATACCGGGGAAGATCAATGCCTCACCATTGGATTGCAGACGGGTTAGCAGTGAGGAGCCCAACGACGTTCTGCACATTTATACTGCCCGTGTCGTCCATCTACCAGCATTGACTCGAACTAGTTACTAAGGCTACAAACCACAATAGTTTTCCTCTCCATAGCACATGTAAATTAAGCATTATCCAGTCAAAGGGCGGCTATGTATGTGGCAACTGGCTTGAGTGCAAGAGAAACGCGTAAACAATCATCAACAACGCGGTGGCAAGTTGTGGGCCAGGGACCTTCCGTCATGAAGTTTCGGTGGCCTGTTTAATTAATAAGTTAGTTCCAACGGCACTGGTGATAGCAGAGTGGCCTCTGGGAGGGGCGCTGTTCCCGTTAGGTGTGCGTATGGCGTGAAGATGTCGGTGGATATTGAGCCTGGGAGTAGGAAAACGTTTAGGATCCCGAACTTGCATATCCAGTGCGTCGCTACGCCAGCTTTCTCTACACGAGCGATATCAACCCACGTTTTCGACGCAAGTCCATTTGAAACAACCACCGTCGAAGTTGCAGAATGAGCGTGGATGAACGAGACCGAGCCGGAGAGAAGTCGGCGAGTCTGAGAGATATTCAAAGACGTCTGCGTTGTAGAGATAGAAGGGGTCTGTGTAACCTGCGGTGGGGCCTGTTGTACTTGGGAGGGAGGTGGCTGGTGGCATGTTGGGGTATTCTGTATGTGGGCGTGGTTTGGGAAAGTTATGCCGAACGAAAGGGATTCAGGGCCTGCGGGCGTAGTCTCAGTGTTGATGGTGAGTGTGAGACGTACTTTTAGGTTTTGTGTCTGTCTGTGTGGAGAAGGCTCGTCCCAGAAGGCGTCTTTGGTGTCGCCTTTGAACCATGCTGCAGAGCTGACTTGGAGAACGGATTTCCCTTCGCCCTCAATGTGTTCAGCTCGTTTAAAAACGCTTCATGTGCAATAACTTATAAGCCGTGCCCGTTCAATAAACATGGCTTGTTCCATGCCACCCCGGAAAAGCGTGATTTCGGGAGAAGTCGATGATGAGGCCTTGATCGAAATATTCTGTAGACTGTAGGCCTCGATGAGGAGTTCCATAATCGTCTTCGGTCCTTTTTTCCCGGGTCAATCGTTCAGAAAAATCATTACGTGATCACTCAACAAAGGGCAGTCATGTCGTTTCCTCGGTCCGTCCTCTTCGTCCATTCACACGCGCACAATTGTGCCCTCCTCGTGTATGATAACATCAAGCACTAATTTGACGTTGGGATGAATTGACGAGTAAACAACCCTGGTGAACCCTGGTTAATTAAGTTCTAGGGGTCTAATCAAGTATGGGGAGTGCCATGATAATAGGAATTCTCGGAGGCGTGCTGTAAGATTGTACATTGTACATGTACAAGGTATGCTTATGTCTGTTTAACTGTAAATTTTGTAAATGACCCAGCGAGCAGAGAACCCTTGAATTTCTCTAGCTAGTGAGGCCTAGTGTGGATTTGTGGATCTACTGTTTCAGTAGAACTGATCATCAAAATCAATCATAGGAGCTAAAAAGAGTACCAATCTCTCCCGCGAGATTCACCACCATATTCGTGATGGCTACGTCCTGCAATCCTACCCCCACGCTCTTGAATATAGTGATTTTACCAGCCTGTCTTACCTCGTCGCACAACGCGTGAACCTTCTTGTAGTCAGCATCCGGGGAGTCGTTGTCAAAATGGACCAGCGTTCCAATTTCGACCATGTCCTCTTCATTAAACTTGGCCTTTATGAGCTCCCCAGCCTCAGACGCGCATGCTTCTCTTGAGTCCACCACCACTTTTCCGGCCTGATGTAGCAACTCTGAAGAGACTTCTGCCATTTCAGGGGTGTAGCTCCCAATGAGATTGAGATGTGTCCCTGGAGAAACCCATTCCGCCTCGAAAAGTGGCTCCTTTGAAGATGTAGCCGTACATATGATATTGGCTGCACGGGTAACTTGTTCCAATCGAGCAAGGTCATCCCTCAAAATGAGAGACTGAAATGTGACTGTTGGATGAGCTGACTTTAGACGGATGATAAGGTCAGTCAGTCTTTGATTGTTTGATTTGTTAACTATAGTGCAAGTTTTGATAGTCGAATAGGCACGAAGGTGGAGATCCACGTGCGCCTCAATCTGCTTGCCTGCTCCGAAAGCAAGGAGCGTGGTTGGGTCTCGAACAGACAAGAGAAGACGCGTAGCAAGCAGAGAACCTGCTCATGTGTATAATTGATTTCTATGGTTGTTTACCGGAATGGATTGAAAGCGCACCAGCAGCTGTACGAAGAGCTGTTAGTTGCCTCGCGTTCACGATTGCACGTATGCCGCCCGTGGTTTCGTCCAAAACCAGGCTGGACGCAGGAAGCCCGCCTTGATCGACAGGATGACGCGGAATTGAGACCACCTTGATGCTGGTCCCTAATCCCTGCACTCGTGCGGGCATGAAAAGTGCATTGTGCTGCGCCATAGTGATTGCTTCACGCAGCGGGGCATCGAAGCCAGAACCTGAGGATAGTGTATGAAATACGAAAGCCATTAGATTCTCAAGCCTGGAGTGGTGGATTGATGATACAATTCTGGATACATCTGCAGCGGTAATGATGAGGAATGACATGGAAGTTTTAGGTGAAGATGCTTGCGGAATCGCGGACGGCCGAAGATAGACTTGGGCTACGTAATGGCGGCCCGGCCGCCCATCGAGTCCAAGAGTTAGCGATAGCTTAATATACCACCCAAAACTTCGACGGAGGTAGGCGTGATTAAATGTTGGGTCTTCATTACATAACATTCAACAGGTCTACAATTGCAATAAGTGGTATATACCAGTAAAGAATAGCATACTAGGTTGACGAGCGAGGAAGTTCGGATACTATTTCATGACTTCAGAGTGATACTCTAAATCTAACACCCATAACGTAGTAAGTGAGATGTCTGTACAAAAATTGTAAGATGAAGATGAGATGGACTTGTGGTTAGTAGGTGCTACCGGCGCCGGTGGCCAGTGCTGGGCCAAAGAATGCCTCTGATAAGAGTTTCGAGACCCTCACGAGAATTATCGTAGAGGTCTCCATTCTCCAGATCTTTCTTGGGTAGTGTAGTGACGCATGCATGTTTAGTAGTCTCCGGGATACCGACGTTTCTGAGAATACTCAGATTGGTCGACCACCACCCATCCAAAGGATCTTTGAATTTCTCCAGATGGGTAACAACCACTACGAGCGGCACACTGCCCATCATCGACTTGACCTTCCCATAGTTTTGCCCATGCGATTTCTTCAGGAGGCCTCGGTCTCCCGGTATGCAGTATATCAGAAGGTCCAAGTCTTTCTTCTTTAAGTACTCTTCAAGTTTGAGCTGCCATGTATCCGGTTTCCGAACGAACTTGAAGCTTTTGAAGCTGAAGTGCCATCGTCCAGGTTCTCCGAGACCAACTGTATCATGTACTTGACACGAGCATTCATCTTCAAGAATCCATAGGTACTCTTTCCCTTCCTTTGTGCATCTGGTTGCGTTGGGCGAGGTAGGAGCATTGGCATCAGGACAAAGCATGTTAACGAGGGAGCTTATCCCCGCCCCAGTTTGACCAATGATGGCTACGTTCTTCGACATATCACTCTGAAAAGGTATCAATATCATGAAGACCCCAACTGGTAGAAGTGTGACCTTTGCACGCGTAGTAAGCACTGACGGTTCTATAGCTGTGCAAAGAACCGAAATCCAGTGGAAGGTATTGGTGAAGACGAAGGGTATCTGTGGTCTGCCCTTTTAGATGATGAGACGACGTTGGTATTAATACACGCATCTGAGGCACTGGAGGAGTCAATACCACGCCGCCACAGTGTGGCGAAGGGCCACGAGGCTGTTCTTCGGCTACCATCCGCTCTTACTCAACCTGGACCCTCTCCCGACGGAGTCGAGTCTAGACTTAACTTACGTCTGCAGCGAGACTCACTTTGTCTCCCGTACAGAGAAAGCGGTTGAGTTGAATTGGAATCATTGCAGTGTTACATAATATTTCGATCCATCCATCGATGATCGATGCCGTCAGATATCGGGTATGTTGGCAAAAGGCATTCAAGTTAGATGGCTATACGCGTATCAGCGGCTACTTCGCTCTCAGAAAGCCGTCGTATCCTTGACGCATCCATCCAAATCTTCATTAATATATATATGGTCAACCGAGGCTAATACTGCGCACTCATCGTGTGTACTGATGTGTGATCTGGTAATTGCTGCATACTCGCGTGGACAATGAGTCTGCTTCCTGGTGTTTGACTTTGATCACAACAGTATTCGTTAGAAACAAATAAGTGGCATGTAGTTATATAAATGCCTCGTGCTCACCCAACCCACACCATTCCGCACCTTGAAATTCCACCAGTCTGCGTATTACCCCTATAAGGTGATGGTAAATGTAACAAGGATTGATTTCTCCAGATGGCCCGCGTGTCTATAGTACATGAATTGAGTGCAGTACGTAGGCACATCAAGGTATATCAGTCGTGTCCGAGGCAGATCTATCCGCAGAAACAGCAATCAGCATCGCACACAAAACTCGATAATATCACTAGCGGGCGCACCGACCCCCGTGGGTTCCATCCGCCGCGTGCAAAGCGGCCTCACAGTGACAGCCGCTTAAACACAGAATCTAGCATCCGCAACTCCCGTCGTCCTGTGCAGTCGTGTCACGCCCTATATTGATCGTTCCCGGCATACCGTCCTCCTCACCCCGCTTCCCAAAACTCACACCAGCTTCCGGTGCAACAGGTGCCCATAGTTCTGGGGTCTCAAGAATCCGCGCCACTAGCTCCTCGAATACCTCGCGTACCCCTATAGCCGTCTTTGCAGAGGCCTCAACGAAGAGGGCATTCTGACGAGAGGCAAAAGTGGAACCTTCGTCCGTGGAGACTTGTCGAGAGTTTTCCTGGAGTGTTGTTAGCGGTTGACAGGAAACAAGTTGGGGAGTGTAAGTGACGAAAAATAAGATTGCAGTGATAATGATGCAAATGTAGTGTGAGCAGATCGATGAAAAGGACTAAGGTTCAGAGAATAACAAGAGTACGTAAAGAGATGATCAGGAAGAAAACAAGTACCTTATCGACCTTGTTTCCAACAATAATCTTCGGTACTGTGATTGAGACATAGGTGTCGATTTCTGAAAACCATTTCGGAAGCGCTTCGAATGTCTCGCGGTTTGCTACATCATACACTGTTCCACGGCATTATCAGGCCTCCGAACCTTCATCTCGTAAAAGCGAGCGAGGACACACCAAGTATGATCCCTTGAGCACCACGGTAGTATGAGGATGTGATCGTACGGAATCGTTCTTGGCCGGCTGTATCCTGCAGAACAGACATCATTATCACACAGATGCAAGGGAAATAAAGAACCAACGCACCCATATACTGAGTTTCACCTTTCGTCCGTTGACTTCCATCTTGTGCACCTATACCAACTAGGGTCAGCACACGACTTCATCCTCCAATAAGAGAAAGCACGGGATGCCAAACGAACACGGAAATCAACGCCTATCGTTGCGCTCGCTTCGTCCTCGGGGAGCCATTGCTCGTCCGAGAAGCGCAAGAGCAAACTACTTTTCCCTACTGAGGCGTTCCCGATTAGTAGAAGCTTGACATTTACGGGTGAGTTAGTGGTAGTGGCAGTAGAGGATTTCTTCATGAGATCCGTTGGAGGCATGATATGTGATTGGGTCGTTGAAAGGAACGGGTCAGCAGGTAGTTGGTAGAGTAATACAAATGTCTTGAGCGGCGATGAATTATGTGTGGACGGCGGCTACTGGGAGGCAACAAGCCTCGTTTGCATCATGCGTCCACTCAAAGAAAGACCTCTCGGCTAACTCCTCGGCGCCTCCAGTTTCATCGAGAGATTGATATGTCGACTACTACGAAATCAGTCTATCACATTACACTACAAAAACATGGGCAACAAAAGTTTCGAGAGCTACAACAGTACTAGAGGAATAAATGATTCATCTGTGAACTATGTACCTACGCCAGGTTTGTGGCCTGCAAAAATTAGCTCCGTTGGAAGGAACATAATGCATCTCTCGTGATATACGGTGCTGCGGTAGTAACCAGACCAACTTTTTCATTCGAAGTTTACTGATAAATGAAGTTGTATCTGCAGGCAGTATTCATAAGCATGGAATTCGTCTAGTGCAGCTTATGGGCGGTTACCTTGACAGTAGGTGCGGGATCGCGGAGAGCTGGGGACCATATCTGGGGTTATACGACGTTACCAATATGAAACATGCACCCTTAAGCTTATTAAGACTATCAAGACGAACCGTGCAGCGTTATCATACAGCTCAAACAGGGGGATGGCAAGGAGCTTCATGTTTTTCGGCACGGCAAGGACCTCTAGTGAAGATACAAGTTGAATGAAAAGTATGGCAGGACCGTCTGACGTACTCCGCTCAGGCATCTGAACTAGATAAAGTTTCTTGCACTCCTTTGGCTTCGTGATGTGTGCTGGCACGAATGGATACTATGAGCATGTGTCAGCATCGCTCATTCGCTACAAGGAAGACGAACGCACCATGAACGTCTCAAAATTTGGCCGCCACCATTGCGCAAGACAATCACCGATCTCCCACTCGTTGTCAACGCCATGGGACGCGTTGAATTGCTTGGACTCTACTGGCGGCGCGAGGCGCTCGTCGAGGCGTCGTTTGAGTCCGTCAATGTCGTCCTCGCCCGGTTTGAGGTAGTCACCGGGGCTAGACACACGATTAGCCAATTATAACGAAAGTGCGGTCGAATATAGAAACGCACAGCTTGAAGAACGCGTTCGCAATTTGGAGCATTAGGATGTGCGGATGTCCGTGGTCATGCACAACAAGGATTCCCTCGACGGTGCGGCGCATACCGAAGTCTTCATAGTTGTTCTGGAGACGCTGGAGACGTGCAGATACGGAAGGGTCCTCTTCAGGCTGTGCCTCTTTTGTGCTGGTATTCGCAACTTAGAAATGATCGCCGCGAACTTACATCACAACTCACCTAAAGGTAAAGTTCGATAGCGGGTACCTATGTTAAGTTTTCGTTAGATGTGGCTGCTACATTGTGCAAAGAAAAAATACATGCAGTGCGATGGTATTGGACATGGTTGTCGAACGTTTGAGCTTCACCAGCACCGTACATTTACATTCAGACTAGGCGTGACTAAGTCACAACTCTTATGTCGTCACAGTCACGACGGAACTAAGAATTCATCGCAAAATCTCGTCGACGTTCGACATTATATGCAACAGTATTTTGAATGCTGCCCGAATTCCTCTCCGACTCAGACTGCGACTGATTAAAGTTCAAAGCCATAATACCAATGGTTCGTTAAATTACATCAATATAGTTTCTAGACGTTGTCTAATGCTGTCTTCAGTCCTTATGGTGACCACTTTGTCCGTCATTAGCTTCTGCCAACTTGTCCGTGTATCATTCGCTCCAAAGAGGAGGCAAAAATGGATGCGGCCTTTTTCCACGAGTCCCTTCTCGTCATCACTTGTCCATCTGTAATCGACAACTCCGAGGGCCAATTTGGATGGACGCCAAGGCATGTTGTTGCTGGAAACAATGGACACATGATTCATCGTTATATTGGAGGACAGCTCCTTTGGCAAGAGTGCACATGCATGGTAGCCATCCTGCAAGAAAGGTATTTCGTCCCCGAACGTTGCCTCGTGTAACTCAACCATCAGGAGCTTCACTCTCAACCGCCCATCGATGACACTCATGTCCTGGTCTCCTCGTAATCTGTAGTGGTCGTGACTGGGATTATAGGATTCGTCCAAATATTGAGCGCTATACCCTTGTGCCGATGGTGGCAAGAACACATATTTGGTGGATGCTATTCCAGCCCAGGCAAGCATATCGCACTCCTGGCTTCTTTGCAGGAGCACTTCCATCAATCTACCAAACGCTTCGTCTCCTATCCCGTACTCCACGTTCATATGCACGTCGAAAAGTGCCAACAGTGAGTAAGCACCATCCTCTACTAGTCGTGAAGTCCGGCGAGATGCCCACATCAGCTTCTCACGCACTCTCTCCATCCCCGCCCAATAACACTGGATGTCTTGCACCGGAATTCTGGTGCCAGTGGAAAGCGCAGCCAGCAACCTCCGGTCAGCTTTATCGTTGTCGGCTCGTGTATTGTGGATCGGTCTCCACGTTTGCCCATAAAATTTGACTCTGACTGGGGCGAGGAGTTCTTGCAAAGTCCAACTTTGTAAAAACCAAGAGTCGCACAGGAAGTCGTCCAATGTGAGTGACTCCGCAAGGTATACAATGCAGACATGTGCATTGCGGTACCACCTGAACATCCGAGGCATGGCTCTTCTGGAGAGGGATTGGATCTATCGATACAGCATGTGTCTGTCCAGGCAAAACCACATCCGTACTTCGCTGCCTTCTGACAGAAGTTTGCCAATTTGTGACGACTCGAGGGCTTCCCGAGCTTTGTACTACCCGATATCATTTCCTGTAGCGTCACCTCTCCTTCGCGGCACCATCTATGAGACAGAATGGCATATCTGACTATGCCTTTCACAATGTTTCTGATCACTTCGTCCCTTCTCTGATTCGGGTAGAACGTGTGTTGCTCTATATCTTTCTCCGTCACGGCCCTGATAGACGGCATATATAACTCCTCCACCCATTGCTGTTCTACGACCTCCATCTTTGATATCGCGATTAACCGATGCGGGATGCTTTCCCGCAGGTACTGTTGGAATATGCGGCAGACCTCCTCGATAGCCATTTACGCAGCTTATCAAGACCAACGAATGTATGAAGATTGTATACTGTCGACGGCTTAACAAGCTTTTCAAATGGATGTGGCCAAGAACTTACGTGGTAACGAAGGGAAGGGGTCAAATCTATATATAGTCAGACCGCAGCTGGGCTTATTCCTCCGTTCATGCATGACAAGGTATGATGCAACTTTAGTCTAAATGCGTTCATACAGTGCAAAGCTGTGTGTGTGAAAAAAGAGGCATCAGCTATGTAAGAGCAGACAAATGATTCATGCCACCTGAGTCCTGTAGGAGATGGAGATATGTTACAACGCGAGCGAGCTAAAGCCACACTGTCGTAACTCGTTGGTACACCTCCCTCTTGGTGCGAATTGTCACAATTTTTTGTGTTTCAACCTTTTGCCACCCTCCATGTGCACTATGAATACTAGATCCAAGTATGAAGCACAAGTAGTCATTTGCGGGTTTAAGTTTTCCAATACCACCGCGCTTTCCAGAATCATCAGCTCGGTAATTCACGATAGCGACCGCCCACTGCGAAAACGGTAGGAAGGTAATGTCGCACTGGGCTGTGACGTCAGAAAAGTCAGCAGAGTCGGAGATGAGGCGGATAGTTTGAGTTTTCTTCCGTGTTCCTCCTGGCCGTCGTGGTGCCGGTTGCTGCAGCATCATCTCTACCAGAATAACTTCAAGCTCCAGGCCTCTCTTCGTCATCGTAAAAAAAGGGTCACCAAGCTTGGAGGGACGATCCGTTATATAGCGATCAGTGGGTAAAAGTATACTGGTGGATGTTTCGTCGAAAGCACAGTACGCCAGAGGAGAACGGGGAATGCTAGCTTGGAATGGGGAATGGGGACCGACCCACGCCAGTATCTGCCATTCACGACAGGCCTGGATGATCGCCTCCATCAGGCGGCGAAATGCCCGCTCTCCTTCTCCATAGGCCACATTCAGGCTGATGTTAAGAATTCCGATCAAGGAATAAGCGATGTCTTCCACCCTTGTTGTCCTCCGCTTGGACGCCCAAATCATTTTCTCGCGAACATCGACCAACCCCGGACTGAAATATAGCAAATTCTGGCGAGATATCCCCGTCGCATGAGAAAGAGCTTTTAACATGGAATGGTCTTCCTTGTCATTGCGCGAACGACTGAGCTCGTCCCAATGCCTGTCATAGAACTTGATACGTGGAGGGGCAAGAAGCTCTTGGAGCGTCCAACCGCGTTGGAACCACACTTCCTCCGAAAAGTCCGAGATTGAAGAAGAGTCTGCGAGAAAAACTATACATATCTCCGCATTGCGGTACCACTTGAACATGGCCCTGATGGCCTCATCTAGCTCCGCACTGCTTTTCTTGTCAATACAGCAAGTGTCGGACCAAGCGAGGCGACAGCCGTATTCCCTTGCTTTCTGGCAAAAGTTGCGGAGCTTGATCAACCCAGGCCTTGTTGACTGATGCTTCCTTTCGACGGACATCTCCTGAAATGTTGGTTCCCCGACACTGAGCCATCTGTGAGAAAGGGCTGCATATCTCAATTTCTGTCTGACCACGTCAGGAAGTTCGTCTTTGGATACAAGGTCCTTGCAGACGCTGATCAATTCCGGACGGAACAGATCCACCAGAGTCTCACGATCGATAAGAGTCATAGTTTCATGGTCGTCAGAGATGTATATGAGATGACTTGGCATCTCGTTGAACACGAGTTCTGCTGTGACGGTCATTATGTCCGCCTCGGTTGGAGCCACAACCTAAAAACCACGACCTTGAGCCAAATGGTCGTGATTTGAGTTTCCTCGGCAGCTGACCTGATCCACTTCTTCGCATGAACTTTCATCCTCGACATCAAACTCCACGCTAGGCCTAGTCAACGTCGTTTGCCAATGCAGCCCCGTGTCCGGTGGGGTGGTACCAGGAAGTGACATGACTTGTTGAATAAGGAAATGGTAGGGCGTGGCTGGCTCTCGATGCAAGGAAGGAACCTGAAAGTTCGGCTAGTGCCGTTGTACGTCCTGTATAGTTTGTTCTAGATCCCGTCCGTTTTTTTCTTGGAACCTCTGTCCGACAAATTATGATCAAGCTGCTATTGATCGAGGCTTCCGGATAGCCAAATTAGGACAGACCGGCCCAACGGGCTGAAGTTCCGAGATGGGGTTTTCCTGTTACTGAAGCAGTGCAGCGGCAATTTCAAACATATGGAGGTATTGGACGCTGTGTGATCAGGTGACAATCCTGGGGTTGTCAGTGACGGTCAGTTGGAGTTTCAAAGTTTGATTCAAAGTTCAGAGTACTCGGATCTTGCAGCTTCTGTTAGATGTCTTCTTTTCGCTGCTGGTCACCCGGTGAGACTAATACTATTCATCTCTGTACATGCATGGACTTACCGTATGATCTCCCCATTAAAAGAGAAATGATTGATTATCAGTGGCGTGGCACCTGCTTGTAATGGAAGAAGGATCTCGACTTAGGAGGCAACGGCACTGCCCGTTGTACGACGTTGCAACCTTAAAGGTCGCCACATCTGTGTATGGTAGGGCAATTGTACCATAGCAGTGATGAGCCGCATAACCGACCTGTCAGGTGCCCTCTCTATACAAGTCATGAGGTGTTGGTGACCACCTGGGCTAGGTACTATGTCATTACGCAGGTACCCCTATAAGGCACATATCAATAACGGAATATTCCGGTTTTGGGTCTGTCGACGGTGACTAGCCAATGGGTTTAATTATGTAAATATGAATTCAGACTCGTTTATCGAAATTATAAAATATTCACAAAACATTGCATAATCTAGTCGGATCCTCGCTTAACCGTTTCATCCTGAACGACTGGTTGGGTTACTCACGACACTGACACAGCTGAGACTCGAATTCATTATCTGATCACCGACATCCGTTTACTTATGTCTTCTATGACTGCTAATGCCGGTAGCGACAGATCAACTTCTTCTTCGCGAAGCCTTGGGGATAACTTAGAACCTGAGCATGCAAATGACGCAACCAAGCACGAAATTATACGCATAGTCTCACCACCGCAAGATGATTCCCCTTTGCACAGAGCTGGGTAAGTTTCAATAACAACATAATACGTTATTATGTGGTCGAAACACGGTCACCTGTCCATCATGCTTCTTTACGCATTCAATCTCCTAACTTGTCAAATTCAATTGCAGACTACTTCAACCCAGGAGCTACGTTTCCTTTACCTCGGTCACTCCCCACTCTCAAGACGACATCCGCGCAAGCACCGTCAAGCTTTCCAATATGGTCTTCTCTGCCTCCAGGGGCTCACCCTCCCCCATGATCCAGAACCTGTCTCCCACCGCAGGGCACAACGCACATTCGTCCTCTCCCTCGACCCACGGTCGAAAGGAAGCCGAACAACTACATTTCCCATCTGAGCTTACGCGAAGGAACATGCCTTCACGCGATTCATTCATATTTCCATCTGGTCATAATCTGCTCACACACGTTGGACCAGGGTCCCTCCCCAATATTCCGTTATCCGCATCTTTTGCACCCTCCTCACAATATACAAGAAGGAGCTCACATTTCTCAGCCCAGGACTCTGATCTCTCAGCCTCCACTTCCACTTTCGACTCCTCCAAAACTGCCCATCGTGATCCGTCGTCTGGCATGGCAACTCCTCGCGGGAGAGACATGTCTCATCGCACTATTGTACCTCAGGCTTCAGCACTCTCAGTTTTGCTCTCCAGACATGCTGATGGAGCACCCTCAAGCTCGCCAAGTCCAACAGTATTGCATAAAACTGACAGGCGGCAGTACTTCAATTCATTAGCAGACCCAGAGCAGGCTGTTTCCACCGTTAACCATAATTCTGCGGATCGCACCCTTCTGGCAACTAGCAACGTTCGCCCAGAAGTTTTACGTTTTGTTTCTTCTTCGGCCACAGAAAATACTCCATTGCTTCCTCCTCCACATGGCCCTGTGCCTGCTATTAATGGTCATTCCTCAGCGCCCTGGAAGCGCTCAATGTCATCAAAACGTTTCTCAAGCCTCGTGCATGGGTTTATGGGCGAGACACATAAGATTGACCCCCAAGAACTAGTGCGCACCGTGTTGAAAAGCCTACCTGCTGTGCTCTTGGGCACGTTGCTCAATATCCTTGATGGAGTTTCATGTAAGCCGTTCTGATGAATGTCACGTTTGGCGCTTTATTTCTTGCGATCTGATGGTACCTTCAAAACCCTTGGCGGCTATTGCCTAACCTACTAATACATAATATGTACTATATTTGTATGCTGTCTGACTCGGGCATCTTCCTGTTCCCCCTCATCTCCGATCATTATGGATCAGCTGCTAACGATGTCGCTGCAGATGGAATGATCATTTTTCCTGCATTTGGTGTCTTTGCTGGATTAGGTGGGATGGGAGTGTCGATGTTTTTTGTCTCGTACGTCGTCTCTAATCATTGCTTCTGATCAGAATTTTTATATTCGACATTTGTCAACAAACAGCACAGTGGTAGCACAACTCGTTTATTGTTTTGGAGGGAGCAGCTTTGCGGGTGCCAATGGCAGTATGATGATTGAGGTTGTGGTACGTGCGTTTCATTTACGTTTCAATTGGTTTCCGTCTATTTCCCTTACATTCGCACGTGTCGACCTTGCTTGTGCCTGCTTGTTTGTTTGTTTGCTTCTTTGATCGCTTCCGCTACCCCGGATTTGCACACCCTTGAACTTTCTCTGATTTCCTTTTTGATGGTAGCCCTTCTTTCACATCCTTGCGTCCACTATAGCACGTGATATCGGAGACGAATATCCGAAAGAGATCATTGCCACGACGATTGCGGCGTTTACGCTTTCGTCCGTACTCACCGGTAGGTCGCATCTAGCTTAATTGCCGCGTGTTCACTCACCCATGTGATTTGCGTAGGGCTGGCCTTTTTTCTCCTCGGCTATCTGCGTTTGGGTGGACTCATCGGGTTCTTCCCGCGGCATATTCTTGTTGGGTAAGCCTTTTACTGACTTGGCGGGACTGGCGCTCACGTCACACACAGATGTATTGGAGGGGTTGGCATCTTCCTAATACTTACAGGGTATGTTCTAATTCAGTCATCATAATAAACCACATCGAACAAATCTCAATGTGAAACAGCCTCACAGTAAGTACGCGTCTCCCGTCCGATGCACTCGATCCGCCGACGCTGGAGACCCTCCGGTACTTCATTCTCAATACACACGCCCTTTCGCAATGGGTTCCTCCCCTTGTCCTGGCAGTGCTTCTGAGGCTCATCACAATGCGATGGAAACATCAGCTTGTATTCCCTATCTGTACGTCCCAGATTACTGACCTTGGCATTATTTGCTCACTTCATGCATGAACGTTCCAGATTTCATGATTATACCTGTTGTATTTTATGTGGTCGTTGCGGCTGCACGGCTTGATCTTGGTGCATTGAGGAGGGACGGCTGGCTTTTCGATATGGCTGGAACTGGTGGTGGGGAGGACAGGTGGTATGGATTTTATTCATATCTCGGTAGGAAATTTTCTATCGATTAGATGATCTCAGGGCTCATTCCACGTTAACGCGAGCAGATCTTGGATTGATCCGATTTACGCCCCTATGGACGACACTGCCGATACAATTTGCACTGCACGTATTCCATCATTGATGTTGTTGGCCTCGCTAATGTTTCGTCTCAGGTTGTTTTTCAATATCTTGCACCCACCTTTGAACGTTCCTGCGCTATGTACGTTCTATCCAAATCTGGATGTTTGGCGAATAGAACATTAACATATTTTACAGCGGTGTCCCTTGATGAAGACGTCGATACTAACAAAGAGCTTTTGGGACATGGGTATTCAAACTTACTTGCCGGGTTTTTAGGCACGGTGTAAGTGTGTTCCTCTAACGCTCGCCAGTGATTGCTCACACGTTGCAGACCAAACTATCTTGTCTACGTGAACACCTTATTGTGAGGCGAACTGCCATTCGCTGTGGAATAAGATAGCTCACATACTGATTTATCAGGTTTTACCGCGTGGGCGGCGGGACGCGTATTGCCGGCTTCCTGCTTGCAGTCGCTACGTTTATCCTACTAATAATAGGGACAGGCCCCATCGCGTATATTCGTATGTGGCATAATTTCCATACCCTCACTTTTCTGACAATTTAAATAGCCATCATGGTTGTCAGCGCCCTAATCTTTGTGCTCGGCATTGACCTTGTCAAGGAGGCATTGTGGGATACACGACACCGAGTTAGCAGGTCAGTTTTTGCACATCGGTGTGATATGCAGCTCATAAACATGCATTAGGATGGAGTACATCACGATAGTCAGCATCATGGTTACGATGACGGCATGGGACTTTGTCATTGGTGTTTTGTTTGGCATTGTCGTCAGCTGTGAGTATGTCGTGTTTTCAGAGTAGACTGTGTTCATAGTTTTGGATAGGTTTCTTCTTCGTGATACAGAACTCGCAGAGAAGGAGCATACGTGCATGTTATGCTGGAGAGTCAGCAATCTCCACAGTCAGGCGGCCTGCTGCACACAGGGCGTACATTCGAGAAGTGTCGAAACAGACAAGGGTGCTTCGTCTCCAAGGCACGTGAAACCTTTCTTGCATTGTAGCATCATTTAATTGTTGGCATCCAGGATTCCTTTTCTTTGGCACCATCGCCCATGTTGAAGAGACTTTGAGAAACATCGTCGAAGACGCTACCTGGCAACGAAATCCCGTCCGCTTCGTCGTCGTCGACTTGTCCCTTGTGGTAGGAGTGGACATGTCTGCCGCAGAAGCTTTCGTGCGTGTGCAGCGCTTGCTCGCTGCGAAGGGCGTGGTATTGGTGTTTTGCGGTGTTACCGCCGAAAGCCCCTGTGGCAAAGCGCTGAGCTGTGTGGGAATCCTCCAAGAACCATCTGTCGAGGTCTTTGAGACCTTGAATGATGCGATGGAATGTGAGTTTTATCTCTTTATGTCACGAACTTGAGTCGATGTTATTTGCAGGGACTGAAAATGCATATCTGCGAGCATGGTTTAGAGCCCAGAAGTCATGGACAACTCCTATAACGCTTCCTGGCCGCAGAGATACCAGCCTTTCCTTTGACGATACTTTGGCGGGATCTCCGAGGCAAATGCAACTTCGTGATGTAGGAGAGCGCACGATCGCTGGTGGTCAGTTTATCGTCTTAGCTAACAGAACCGATTCTCATCGTCTAGCAGAATTTCTCGACAAGGATGCAGAGAATTCTTCTGAGCCATACAACACCCTTCTCAATGCGTTCTCGTCGTATCACGACGTGGACCAGAAGACGTTCAAACAGATCGCCCCATACTTTGAGCGATTCACATTCCCAGACGGTTTTGTCCTATGGGAGAATAATGATACCCCCGATGGCCTGTATATCATCGAGTCAGGTATCCTGCGGGCATCATACAAGTTTGCAGAGCATAGCCCCGTCATTGAAGAGTCGATGGTGTCGGGTACTCTAGCAGGCGAGCTTTCTGCTTTGTCGGGCATGCCGCGGAATGCCCGCGTGGTTGTAGAGCAGCAGGCTGTATTGTGGAAGCTGTCTCTCGAAAACATGCGTCGATTGGAAACAGAATGTCCTCATCTTGCACAGGTTTTTGTGCAACTTGTACTTAAAGGTAAGTAGCGGCTTTAGTCCTGAGCATGAACTTACCCTGTTTCTTATCTCAGCTGCAAAAGTCGACACCGACATCCTTCTTGCTGCCTTAGCAACAAGATAAAAATAGGGATATATATACTGGAAGTAAAACATACATAGCTTACGACCCACAGATATGAAAAGCAAATACACGAACACGAATATGACCAAGAGTGTTATCGAAGTGCCACTTCTCGTCCTTGTATTTCTCGCAGGACCTCGTGGAACCGCAACGACCACCACCCGCGTTCTTCCCTTTCCTGTTGCTCCGCATCCCCTGCTTGTCCTAGTTCGACACCATGTAACTGCATGGAAGGACTTTTAGGAAATGGCAACCCTGATGCGAGGATGGATAAGACTGATTGACTGATCTCAGATTCTTTCGACGCATGAGCCAGGTGGCTCTTCGCAGATGGCGAAGACAACGACTTCAAGGTGTGCTGACAACATTGTCTCAGTGGTACCAACCATTCCTTCAGAACGGCGCACTGCATGGATGCCTCCGATACAGAAGATCGAGAAGTGCCGTGTGACAACGACACGGTCAAGACACGACCTTTTGAATTTGCGTGTCCTCTCTCGAGCTCCTCAGCAGTCAGTGGAACTAAATCTAGTGAGATGGACGATCTTCTATCTGGGTTAGATCATATAAGTGCTAGTTCTGTAAGTGACTGTCTTTCGAGGTCCTTACCTGTCTCGTCTGTCACAGAAAGGATTCTGGAGAGACCAAAGTCCTCGAGTATGCGCAAATTTGCAGAAGTGCGCTGGGAATCATCGTGGTGATTGGAGGCGGAGGTCATCATGATTGAGTCTGTAAAAACGAATAACTGAACGTCAACAGCCGGAGACTCGATGCGAAGCAAAGGGCTATTTCTGGGCCCCGCTTGTGACTCAGATCGGAAGTCGAATGATGATGGAGCAGTACGAAAGGATTGTAGTGACGCTGTCGTCGAGGCTGTAGATTGGACTGACCCACTGCGCCCACGCCAACCTTTCAGCGCATTCGAGAGTCTTTCGTTATATCGTGGACGCGAATCAGGAGATGGGCTTTTCAGTGGCTCTGTAAAACCATGCACGTTGGTGGAAGGGCGCATGACCGGTAGATCATCGTCGTTTTCCACTCTGGCACATGCGACAGGACCGTGCATCAGCAGACGCCTATCACGGCAAGGAAGTTGGGAGGGAACGTTCGTTATACGTGAGAGCATATCTTTTACAAAATCGTACTCGTCCTCCCGATCTTTGACTTCGCTGAGAACACGGATCGTGAGTTTAGCAGAGTGAAGAACAGATAGTGTTGATAGATAGTCGGGATGGGACTTCGGGGTTGCGTGCCAGAGCCGCTAGAAGATCTAATTTCAGTCATGAGAAGTAGACAGACACACCGACTCACATGAAAAAAGTCAGGGTATTGGGAGAGCCTCTGAACAGGTTCAACCAAATATTTCTCCAATGACCATCCCTGACAGGAGGAGGAGCGCTCTTGTAGCTTGATAAAATCTCCGATGTCACTTTTCTCCTGCGCGACCAGATGTTCGATTCTGGTTGCAACAAACTCTAGCTTTACCAGGTAAGGTTGATATATTTCAAGCTTTGCCATAAAAGATCGAAGAATTTCCCCGACACACTGCAGGTCGGAGTTGTGCACATCCCGAAGACCGATGAGACTGGCGGATAGTTTCGTGTGGAGATGTACGATGTCTTCTAGCCAGTCAA